ACAATTTAATGAAAAAATTTAAAATTTTGTTAATTTTTTTTTTGGGATGGGGTGTGGGGGGAGGTGGTAGGGGTGGGGTGGTAATTTTTTTTATTTTATTTTTACATTTTTTTGGGATAGTGGGGTAGGGGGGTGATAGGGGTGGAGTGAAGTGATAAAATAAACTTTAATTTATTTTTTGTTTTTAAAGCTTTTAACAAGATTCCTATTATAATATGGGTAAATATTGTTACCCATATTATCCATTAGATAACTCATTTTTTGATCGACTCATATTCAACTCGACTCGCTCGTTTGTCACTCCTAATCATAACCAAGAAAGAAAGCTTATAAGTATATTAGATTCATTATTAAACTGCAAACTGGCGACGAGGACCACTTCCAAATATTTAGAAACACATGCATATAGAGAAAGCCTATTTTATTACACAAAATTAGTACTCCTTATTAAAAGCTTATGGCATAAACAACCAAAAAAAATGTGAGTGCTTGAAAATTATTATACTCCATCGATTATCAATTTGGTGAAGCTATCAGTCCTAAAACTCTAACTTTCGTTTTTCCAATTCATAAAAGCAAAAGGATCTATAAATGGAAATTGCCGACGCCGATCCAGTCCTATTGAGTTGCCAGATATTGGCGATACCGTATCCAGGTAGAGGCCACATCAATCCATTGATGAATCTGTGCAAGCTCATAGCTGCAACATCCACACCAAATCATCTACTTCAAATCTCTTTTATTGTAACTGAAGAGTGGTACAGCTTTTTGGAATCAGATCCAAAACCAGATAATATCCAATTTCGAACAATCCCAAATGTAATTCCATCAGAAAAGGATCGAAGCAAAGATTTCTTAGGTTTTATGAAAGTTGTGTTTACTAAAATGGAAGCTCCAGTTGATAGAATACTTGACGGGCTTCTGAAACCCAATGTGATTTTAGCTGATTCGTTCTTGCCGTGGGCCGTCAGTATTGGGGGGCGGAGGAATATTCCGGTGGCTTCATTTTGGACCATGTCAGTCACGAATTTCTCCATCTTTTATCATCATCAACTACTACTTGCTAATGGACATTTTGAAGTCAATTTCACAGGTATTGTTACTTGCACCTCTCTAAATGAGTATAGAAATATAAATCTTATATCTATCTTGTCTTTTTCGTTCTAAAACTAAGTAACACCCAGGGACGGCTTAATAAGATTAGGGGCTTAAAGCAAAACTTAAGAGAGGACCCTAATATTTTTTTTTTCATCGTATTACTTTTATTTAAAATCTACTTTTCTATCATTTTTAGATGTGAAGTCATTGATTATTGTTTTATGATCAATTTGTTTTAATAATTCCTTTTCAATAGATAATATAGTTAATCTATTCAATCTCTCTTGAAACATTGTTGATCTTAAATAAGATTTAATTAATTCTATTTTCGAAAAGCTTCTTTCGATTAAGGCAACAATTACATGAACTATTAACATTATTCAATAAGCAATATGTGTATTTGAAAAATAATCAAGTCTTTTTATTTGATTGAGTATTTTCACTAGATCAGTATCTTCTACTTGTATTATTTCTCTTAATGCTTTTAATTCAAAAAATAAATTTAAATCATCAATATTAGAATAAATATTACTCCCTCAATTTCAAAAAGAGTGGTCTAGTTTGACTTGGCACGAAATTTAAGAAAATAAAGAAGACTTTTGAATCTTGTGGTCCTAAATTAAAGCCAAAAATATGGGGCTCCAAGCGATGACTTTAGTGGCTTAGGGGTTAAGACGGCTCTAGACTAACACCTGTCACGTATATAAGAATTAATTTTGGTCTTATAATTTTAAATGTTTAAATGATAAAACTTAAAGATCAAATCGATCAAATTTATATATTGAATCTACCTTTTCGTAATAGTACACTCATCCTATACGCCTTTGAGCAGCTGGAGTATACTATTTGTCTCCCTTAAATTTCATGAGATCCGTATATTTTCGTTGTTAGTTGATACATTCATCCGAACTTGTTGTCCACCTTACTGATTGTAAAGTTGGAAGTTTATCATATTAAAACGTATAATCAAACAATATATATTTTGAAAAATACAACTACTTATATCCAAAAATTCATGATGAACAGAGCAAGGAGAAGAAGTGGTAAATTACATTCCTGGAATTAAACCAATTTGCGTAAAGGATTTCCCATCTTCATTCAACAGAAAACGGGAGATGTTGCCCTTTCTTCTCGAATATGTATCACAAATGGCCAGTAAAGCACAATACGCCTTGTTCACCACCATTGAAGCATTGGAATCTCAAGTAATTGAGGTTTTACAAGCTGAATTACCAGTCCCCATTTTCACAGTTGGTCCAACAATTCCTTTTTTTGATACTGAATTCAAAACTAACCAGCTTAGTCCAAACTACTTGTCATGGCTTGATGATCAACCTAAAGACTCAGTTCTATACATATCCCAAGGAAGTTTCATGTCAGTATCAAAAGAACAGCTAGATGAAATTATAGCAGGTGTGCACAGCAGTAGTGTCCGAACGTTTTGGGTGGCACGTGAGAATGTATCCTTACTTACAAATGGAATTGGGAAGAGGGGAATCGTGGTGCCTTGGTGTGACCAATTGAAAGTTTTGTGCCATCCTAGTGTAGGTGGATTTTGGTCGCATTGTGGATGGAATTCAACCAAGGAGGGTGCATTTGCTGGCGTTCCATTTCTTACGTTCCCCATTGGGGCTGATCAGTTTACCAACAGTAAACAAATAGTGGAGGACTGGAAAATTGGGTGGAGGATCAATAAGGAAAGCGAGAACGTGGTTAAAAGAGATGAAATTGCTCTGATTTTGCAGAGTTTTATGGACCTTGACAGCTACGAAGGAAAAGAAATGAGAAGAAGAGCAATGGAAATAAGGAACACCTGCCTAGAAGCAATTGATGGTGGAACCATCCAGGGAAATATTGACAAGTTCATTCGGGATATTTTTCGAGACACAAGGCAGCAATTTACTATACTTTAGGCTTGACAAACTGTCCAGATAAGGTACCCATGACCAGCAATACGGTTCTAGTCACTGTAATAAGCTGCTTGTACCCTTGTGATCTTCTCGTCCAAAAGGTTATGTTTGCACTAGGAAACAGTTCCTATTCGTTTTGCTCTTATTTTGGGATTGTTTTGTTTCTTGTGCTGCTTTCATTTACTGAGTGTACTTATATATTACAGCCATCTTATCACCTATTATATGAATATATGTAAGTTGTAGTCGAACAAACTATGATTATTAATTTACTGTACCGTAAAATACCGAATTAGTTTGATATTATAATGGTACAATATTTTTTAAAATTGAAATTACCAACTAAAGTTTTGAATACAGTATCAGGTCTACCTATGGTCCTTACCAAGAAAAAGAGATTCAAGCATCTTAGATTCATAAATGAAGGAAATGAGTCGATTAACAATGATGTCACACAGAGGCGGAGCTAGGTGGAGGTTCATGGGTTCTTATGAACCCACTAGCTTTTTTGTAGATCCTATATTTGTATTAGAAAATTGAATAAATATTATATATAAACATGTGAACCCCCAAACAAAATTGATTTAGAACCTCTAAACTCCTAACATTGGCTCCGCCTATTGTCACACATTATTATATTGAAGCGATGCCGATGAAATGGAGGTCGCCACTAAATACTGTGCCGTAAAAAGAATGTGTTGCTAAGAGTTAATATGGAATCATTATTATATTGCAAACTGGCAACGAGGACCACTTGCAAATATTTAAAAAAAAACATGCAATATTGGAGAAAGCCTATTGTATATGTAATGTGGCTTTTTAAGTTTGATTGAAGAAAACTATTTTATCTTTATTTCGTGAAAGATTTGGAAGCCATAAATCTTTTGTGAAAGATTTGGAAGCAAATATATTTGTCAAAGAGTTGAAAGCACGTTGAGATGTTGAATATTTCATCTTTCTTTTGTGAAAGATTTGGAAGCAAATATATTTATCAAAGATTTGGAAGCACATTGAGATGTTGAATATTTTATCTTTCTTTTGGGAAAGATTTGGAAGCAAATATATTTGTCAAAGATTTGGAAGCACATCAATAAGCCTATTTTTTCTCTATAAATAGGGAATTTAAGCATATGAAAATATTTCATTGCTTTATTTCTTTGTCTTTTCATTAAGAGTAATTTTGTAAAAGAGTTAATGTTGGGGAAAAAAATGTGTGAACCTTTTTTTTTGAAGTGATTTTGTGAGGTTATTCTTTTTGGGTAATGGGGATTAATTAGAGTATTTACTCTAATTTTATACTCTCTTTTGTACTCTTGTCTTGTTGATATAGTGAATCCACGTGTGAATTAGGTCACACCGATCGAATCACGTTAAATTTATGTCTTCTTTAATTGGTTTACATTCATTATTATCAACTTATTATTGTCTTTGTTATTGTTTGGCTAAATTTCGCACTACCCAAGCTTCATCAATCAGTAATTTGGTGAACATTACCAGTCCTAAATCCCTAATTTTCGTTTTCCTATTCATAAAAGCAAAAGGATCTGTGAATGGAACTTACTGACGTCGATGAAGCCCTATTGAGTTGCCAGATATTGGCGATTCCGTATCCAGGTAGAGGCCACATCAATCCATTGATGAATCAGTGCAAGCTCATAGCTGCAACATCCACACCAAATCATCTACTACAAATCTCTTTTATTGTTATAGAAGAGTGGTTCAGCTTTTTGAAATCAGATCCAAAACCAGATAATATCCAATTTCTAACTATATCAAATGTAATTCCATCAGAAAAGGAGAGAAGCAAAGATTTTGAAGGCTTTGTGAAAGCTGTATTTACTAAAATGGAAGCTCCTGTTGATAGTATACTTGACCCAATGTGATTTTAGCTGATTCGTTCTTACCGTGGGCCGTCAGTATTGGGGAACGGAGGAATATTCCGGTGGCTTTAGCTTGATTCGTTCTTACCGTGGGCCGTCAGTTATTGGGGAACGGAGGAATATTCCGGTGGCTTCATTTTGGCCCATGTCTCTCACGATTTTCTCCATCGTTTATCATCATCAACTACTACTTGCTAATGGACATTTTGAAGCCAATTTGATAGGTATTGTTACTTGCCGAATTGATATGAGTAAGAAACATCTTAATCTCAATATGCATTCGAATATTAAGATATAATGACCCGATCTAAATACTTCTTTTTGATTATTTTTTTTATAAGTTTGAGTATTCATATTTGATAAAAATAATTAAACTATTCAAAATACAAATAAAAATTATATATTAATATAAATAGTTATTTACTCCTTCTATCTCAATTTATGTAGTAACACATTTCGAATTTCAAAATTCAAACAAATTTATCTTTAATGGTAAATTTTTCATACATCTTTTAATTATTTTGAATTGTCAATTATTGTGACTTATAACACTTTTTACGTAGTTTATAAATATATAAATTTTATTTTTAAAAAATTAAAAATTTCATGTGCAAATTCCTAGTCACTCTCGAAAAATGAAATGTCACATAAATCGAGAGATATGTAAATTATTTTCTTAAGAATTAAACATTAGTTTATCTTTTTATAATAAAATTATCAAGCTACACAAAATATTGTTATTTTATCATTCTAACGTATAATCAAATCAAACAATGTTTTGAAAATCTCTTTTGAAAAATACTAGTTATATTTAATTTCATGATGAACAGAGCAAGGAGAAGGGGTCGTAAATTACATTCCTGGGATTACACCAATTCGCGTAACGGATCTCCCATCTATATTCTACAGCAGCAAAACAACGGGAGATGTTGCCCTTCCTTCTCCAAGTTGTGTCACAATTGGCCAATAAAGCACAGTATGCCTTGTTCACCACCATTGGAGCATTGGAATCTCAAGTAATTGAGGCTTTACAAGCTGAAGTTCCAGTCCCCATTTTCACAGTTGGTCCAACAATCCCTTTTTCAGATACCGAATTCAAAACTAACCAGCCTAGTCCAAACTACTTGTCATGGCTTGATGATCAACCTAAGGACTCTGCTCTATACATATCCCAAGGAAGTTTCATGTCAGTATCAAAAGAACAGCTAGATGAAATCATAGCGGGCGTGCACAGCAGCATTTTGGGTGGGACGTGAGAATGCATCCTTACTTACAGACAGGGGAATCGTGGTGCCTTGGTGCGATCAATTGAAAGTTTTGTGCCATCCTAGTGTAGGTGGATTTTGGTCATAGTGTGGATGGAATTCAACCAAGGAGGGTGCATTTGCTGGCGTTCCTTCTCTTACATTCCCCATTGTGACTGATCAATTTACCAACAGTAAACAAATAGTGGAGGATCAATAAGGAAAGCGAGAACCTGGTTAAGAGAGATGAAATTGCTCTGCTATTGCAGAGTTTTATGGACCTTGACAACCACCAAGGAAAAGAAATGAGGAGAAGAGCAGTGGAAATAAGGAAAACCTGCCAAGAAGCAATTGAGGGTGGAGCCATCCAAGGAAATATTGACAAGTTCATTCGGGATATTTCTCGCCAGTGATGTATCTACTTTCCCCTAAAGTGTTCATTTTGGAACATACCCACGGTGTGTAAAAATAATTGAGGCTTGACAAACTGTCCAGTTAAGGTACCCGTCACCAACAATACCTAGTCACTGTAATCAGCTGTTTATTGCTGGAACCCTACTTGTATCCTTGTGATCTTCTGGTCCAAAAGGTCATGTTTGCACTTCCTATTCGTTTTGTTCTTATTTTGTTGCTTTTGTGCTGGTTTGAAGCAGTTCATATCTCTCTATCCTCATTTACTGAATAGTCTCATTTAAGTGGCTTGGCATCGTTCACATCTTACTTCGACTTCGATCTTGGTTGGATAGACAATATCAACTACCCTTTACTGCCAAATATTAGAATGGATGACTACCCACAACAAAAATTAACCATCGACTGCTCTTACATTTAACGCTTCTGCTTTGCTGACAAGAAACAGCACAAACTTCTTTTGAGTATTCAATTTGTCTAGCATGTCTAAATATCATTCCTTAAACGGCAACAAGAATGAAGGGAGGGGGTCAGCTTCCCATATAAAAGTAACGAATACTGCTGGTAGCAGAAACACGCTAGTTCCCATTTAATTGCACGGTTTGCCCTTCAAATGAGCTGATTTTAAATCTTTGCCCGTAGAAATCAAACATATGCCTAACGGAGCATAAGTTCTTTAAGGGCAAGGAACTAAAGAACAGCACAAAATAGGGGTAAAAGTGCAAAATGACCTGCCAGTTTCTAACAATTTAGAATCCAGCATACTTCTTGATTTTTTAGACATCAAGATTAGAGTATACGGATCATCACGATCTAAGTTGAATAATAATGACGCAAAATAGAATAACAAGAGGTCGGTAAAATCCTATAGCATGCAATCCAGCACGCTTTCTGTATTTCTGTATAAGAAATATGCAATTACAAAATGTACACCTACCAAATTCATTCAAACAAATAGACACGCTGTTACATTGAAATGCCGTTCAACGAACAAACAAGTAACAATGAACTATCATACTGTTTTCCCTGAACTTCACAGCAGCAGTTTACCCCCCAAGAATACCACAGGATTAAAGTTGAATCACTTACAATCTCACATTATGGTACACGCGCACACACTTTTCTTCGGAGTCTCATCAATCTTCTTTTCTGTCATATAAAGACAAGTTTCAGCAGCCAAAAAAAAAAAAAAGAGAAGTGTACACCATGAATTCTAAACACCACACCCCTGGACTGAAGATACTCGTTGAGGATAGCAAAACAGGCACAGGATTGAACTTTCATACATATATTCAAATAAATAAATTTTACAAGAAAAGCACAGGGTTAGGGGTTGAGGGTGTGGCAAGGCATGTCTTGTCCCGTGTATCTTATCCTCAATTCAGCATTAGAACAAATACGATTCATGTCAAGCTTAGAAGGTACAAATCTTATTTAAGTACATTTAATGAAGCTCACATTTACATGAGACAAGTATTTCCTGGATACTACAACTTCAGCATTAGACAAAAATAGACATCCGCCAAGCATTAGTGGAGGATTAATGAAATGGCTAACTCAAGAGAATTTCCAATTACAAAAATCTCACTGGGATAAGATTTAAGTTAAGCACCTTGCCACATATTAGCAAGTGCACTTCAACAGGTCAAAATCCACCAGCACAGTTAGATCTTCATTTAACTCAGCAAAATTTAACTTGCACAAAACACACGGCTCACCTTGTTTCTCCCTCGAATCTACCACTTCATTATCCACCAAAGCTACATCCAAAATCTGTCTTCCATCAACAAAAGCATTTTGCAAAAACGAAATAGTCTCGTCCAACTCTTAAGTCTATTAGAAAGCACCTTAGAAATGATCTTGTAGATGCTTCCCACTAAACTAATAGGTTTGTAGTCCCCAATCCTAGAAGTCCCTTCCTTCTTAGTAAAAATGACAATCAAAGAAGCATTTAAGCTCCTTTCGAAATTACCCCTCCTAAAACTCATCAATAGTACTTAATACATCATGTCTAACTGTACAACAATGCTGAAAGAAAACCAAAGTGAAACCATCTAGACCTCGAGCCTTGTCACCCACACAACACTCCACTGCCTCACGCACCTCCCTTTCGTCAATCTTTCTCTCTAATCACTCACTATTATCCCCTCCAATCTGATTGAAATCAACCC